AGATTGTGATGGTGATTGTTACTATAACCGGCTCGGAAAAGCCTGGTCTGGACGCTCTCGTGGAATTGGAAATTGAGCGTGAGTAAGAATAATGAATCAATAGATGGCTGGCACCGCCAAGCACGTCGTTCCCATGCGTCGTGTATTTTATTCATCGACGGTCAGTATTCAACAAGCGAGCGATTCATGGATCTCTTCATTCACCTCGGTATTCCCCGGGAGACGGCGGGAGGCGGGAGGCGGAAGGCGGGAGGTGGGAGGAGGGAGGAAGGGAGGAAGGGAAGGAGGGAGAAGGGAGAGACGAAGTGAAAGTGCAAGCGACAGAGGGACGGGGACATCTTCTCAGGCTTGGCCTGTTTCATGTTGACAGCGCTTCCCCGTCTCCGAAAAACCCAAAATATCCAATTCCCGGCTAGCCCACACTTGGTCCTAGCGTGGCCTGCCATCCCCCCCCGCTTAGCCCTGTCCCGCCCCACCCGCCCCACCCCACCCCAGCCGGCCCGTGCTTGGCCAATCTCATTTCCGGGCCTAGTATTTGTACACGCTCACCACCGCTGCCCTTCGCGTCTTCCTCCCTTCTCTTCCCCATCTGCATCTTCAAATTCAGTTCTCGTCGACGTTCTGCGACACCACACTCCTTAGGCCCCCCCCTCCAACACTCTGTCACTCCTTCCAGTGTGTTGATTGATCAGTTTACAATTCACCTTGACCAACATTACCTTCCATGAACCCCCCCCGATTCACCACTCTCAAATTCAAGTTCACGACTTCCGCCCCCGTGCGACCCCGCCAAATCCCCCAGTCTCGAACAAGTAAGCAACCGCAACGCAACAATCACCGCGACCCCTTCGCAACACATTCCGCATTCTTCGACAGGATCATAAGTACAGCTGCGCTGCACGGTCTCGATCTCTTCTCCACCCAACCTGATCGCTCCCGTGCCCTAGTTTCTGTCCTGTCCTGACCCGATACCCACCGATACCGATACCGATACCGATACCCTCTCTCTTCCTGCTTTCTCAAAAGAAAGCTCACCACACATACCTCACTCATCCTCACCCTCCACCACCCAGTCACTCGTTATCTCGAAAACTCCCCACGAGTCAAGATGCGTTCTTCAGTCATCCTCGCTGCCCTCGGTGCGACCCTCGCCGTGGCTTCGCCGGTCCACTTCGGTCTCCATAAGAAGGCCGTCGTCACGAACTTCGAGGTCGCCATCGAATATGTCACCGTGACCGTCACCGCACCACACCCTGGATACGAAACCCCGGTGCCCCCTCCCGCCCCGCATCCATGTTAGTAGATCCCGTGATCGTGTCCCAATAGCGAGGTGCTTTCTTGTGAATATGCTGACATTTGCTGCACCAGTCTTCAAGCCAGGCCCACCCTTCGGGCCGGACTTCAAGAAAATTATGGATTACAAGCCAGGTTCGGATTTCAAGCCCGGTCCGAAGTTCATGCCAGGTCCGGGTTTCATGCCCAAGGGATTTCCGGATTTCAAGTCAAAGCCACTTCCGGATTACAAGCCAAAGCCATTTCCGGATTTTAAGCCAAAGCCACTTCCGGATTTCAAGCCAGTTCCGACCTACGAGCCAGCTCCAAAGCCAGCTCCGGCGCCTAAGCCAGTTTACGAGGCTAAGCCAATGCCTAAGCCTGAGCCTGAGCCTAAGCCTGAGCCTAAGCCTGAGCCTAAGCCTGAGCCTAAGCCAGTTTACGAGGCTAAGCCAATGCCTGAGCCTGAGCCTAAGCCAGTTTACGAGCCTAAGCCAGCTCCAGCTCCAGCTCCCGAACCTGCTCCCTACCCAGCGACTAAGATGGAGGACGTTAAGCCAACCGACTACAAATCCGCCGCTCTGTACCACCACAACAAGCACCGCGCTAACCACTCTGCCGACCCCTTGGAATGGGACGACACTCTCGCTAGCTACGCCCAGACGATTGCCTACAACTGCGTCTTCGAGCATGACATGTAAGTGGATCACCCCCCACCCCAATGATGCGGGTCGAGACTGACCACAACTAGGGAGCAAGGAGGTGGCGGATACGGCCAAAACCTTGCAGCCTACGGCACAACTGCCGACATGTCCACGCTGGATCCCGCCAACGTGGCTGCCGACGCCATCACCAACCAATGGTACTACGGCGAGATTGCCAACATGCCTTGGGGACAGGATAGCCCAGCTACCTCGGGCGTTCCCGAGTACTTGCACTTGACTGCGATCCTCTGGAAGAGCACCACTCATGTTGGATGCTACACTGCCACGTGCAACGCTGGTACCATCTTTTCCTACGCTAGCATGTACACTGGTAAGATATCATCTCATCTCGATCTGAATCTTGCTAACCTCTTTCAGTGTGCAACTACAAGGAGCCCGGTAACATGATCGGATCCTTCACCAAAGAGGTCAGCGAGCCTATTGGCCTGCCTGGCGTCGAAGCCTCCATCAAGTAGATGCCTGAGTACCTTGTACGCCATCTGATGAATCTTATGTGCGCCATGTGAGTGGCTCTTGCATGTACAATCTTCAACGGGCTGCGGTCGTCGTTGGCCTGGTTCCGTCGCTGGACCACGCTTAGGCACGATCCATCCATCAAAATCGGTCGCACATCTTGGACGAGAGTCGCGCGTTCTAGAGGGTAACGAATTTCCTGCAAAACTTCTGGTATTTCTGGTCTTGCGCACACGATGTACTTCTCGTCTCTCTTGCATTTTGCAACCTCAACCTTGGAGGCATGGGAACGACTTCTCGGTAGACATGACGGTTTCTACGTCCGTGGGTACCCGTGTCTCTCGTTGTGGGACCTTTTTTAGGGGCAGGCGTTTGTTTTTTCACTTCTTTGTATCACTACACCCTTTTCTCGATGAGTCCTCCTTTTTCAAACACGGATTTCTCTCTCATGTCCTGCGGGCCTCCCGTTGGGCTTGCATATGATGGTGTTCCTCTGGGCGAGATTTCGAAAGATGCTTTTTACGATGTTATGGGCTACGTGAGCTTTGGAGTTGTCTTTAAGATGGTTAGACGATCAAGGCAAAGCAAGAGCACAAACGAAGTACCTGATGAATACGCCCAACCATCTGACGTGCGTGCTTTTCCAATTTCCTGTGACAAGATGCAACCGTGCTGTGATAACAGAATATACTTGGCATTGACGTTTCAGCACGACTTCGAAACCGGTATGGCCGTCACCGACAGGGCTGAATTTAGATCGAAATCTATAAAAAGTGTCGGGCGAGAGATTACAATCAATACGTAAAAGGGCGCAGTTATTGCTTAAGGAATAAAACCAGCCCCCGCCCGCCCCACCCCCCTCCGTGATTATATTTACACCTGCGGTACGGAGTAGATCGTACCCTCCTCTTATAGCAAGAACCCATGATCGAGTAAATTAAAAGCGACCTTGCAAATGATCCAGGTGATCCCTGGTGACCAAAATATCAGACATTCTCTCTACTGGTTGATTAATCATCAATCACCCTTGACTTGACTCGAGTCATCTCGCTCTCATTCTCCGTCTTATTTTCCGTCGCTGATTATTGGCGCTACGCCAGAGAGTCAGGGTTGCAGGGTTGCGATTACCTACTGATTACTGATTGACATTTTTCTCGCGATAACATTTTCCACGCCGATAAGGAAAGTGTATGTGTGGGCTTCTCCACACGAACTTTCTGCGAGAGACTCCACCACACGATTCTAATGCTGCGGGCGTGATAGAAACGAAACAGGAAGAGCAAGAGAGAGGAATCTCGGACCTTTGCACACACCTGGGCCGGACGAGCAGCAGAAAGAAAGATAGATCGCAAGGGGCGGGGGCTCTTTCTTGCGCGGCTATCTAGTAAGTCTACGAACGAGACGGCCTATCGACGATATTATACCCCGCTACGAGGCGGGGCTGCCGAGTCGAGTCAACCCGGGTCGCAACGATAACAAAATACGACTTGACAAAGACCCAGACGTTGCTGAGAGATTGCTGAGGCATTTCTGAGGGGGCATAGGGAATCAGCAGATCGCGCGCGCGCGCGGATATTCGAACTCGAAGTCTGCAAGCAAGCAGAGAGCTCGCTCCGGATACGGCTGTGTCGGCGAGCAAGCGCGTCTATCTACACCACGCGCGTGCCCGCAGACGGGAAGAGAGAGGGAAACGAGCGATATAAAAGGGGAGCCGGGTAGCGGGGCCCGAGCAAAGTCCGTCATGATGGCAGCACAACTCCGCGGGGTGGGCGCGGGCGTGAGTGCGGAAGAGGGCAAAGGGATCGGGCAGGCTCTCAAGCTGAACCAAGGCAGTCCTGGCTCTAGAGCTGCGGGAGATGGTCGGGACAAGGAGGGAGAGGCGAAGAAGAGAACGGAGGAGAAGCTGGTGCTGAGGAATCGTGCCGGGGAGAGCAGGAGCCCGTATGTGCGGGCACATAGAGGTAACCCGGTGGCGTGGCAGCTTTGGGGGAGTGAGGCGGTGGAAATGGCTCGGCGGGAGAATCGGCTGATATTTGTCAGTATAGGGTATGCTGCTTGTCACTGTAAGTTTCTTGCTTCTCTCTTCCCTGCGGCACCATTGGTGGATGTGAGGGGGGGAGCTGGGCTGGAGGATAAGGACGATGACAGAGACGGAGACGGAGACGGAGATGGCGGCCTGACGTCTGCAAAGAGGGAGGACCAAGCTGATAGTAAAAGGGTGTCATGTAATGGAGCGCGAATCCTTCGAGAACGAAGAAATCGCTACCCTCCTCAACACCCACTTCATCCCCGTCAAGATCGACCGCGAGGTGCGTCCCGACATCGACCGCATCTACATGAACTTCGTCCAAGCAACGACCGGGTCCGGCGGCTGGCCTCTCAACGTCTTCCTCACCCCCGACCTGGAACCCGTCTTCGGCGGAACCTACTGGCCGGGACATTCCTCTGGCACAGCTTTTGAGGACCAAGTCGACTTTCTGGGTATCTTGCAGAAGCTGAGTTCGGTGTGGAGGGAGCAGGAAGAAAGGTGCCGCCGCGACTCGAAGCAGATCTTGGAGCAGCTGAAGAGCTTCGCTGCGGATGGCACTTTTGGAAGCCGCCTGGGGGACGGGGAAGGCGGTGATGGCTTGGATATCGAGTTGCTGGAGGAGGCTGTGCAGCACTTCTCTTCGACTTACGATAGTACGAATGGTGGGTTTGGGCTCGCGCCGAAGTTCCCGACGCCGTCAAAGCTGTCGTTTCTCTTGAGGTTGGGACAGTACCCGTCCATTGTCGTGGATGTGGTGGGCGCGCCGGAATGTCGGAATGCGCAGAGCATGGCCGTCACGACGCTGCGGAAGATGGCGAGGGGGGGCGTGCATGACCAAGTGGGAAATGGATTTGCGCGTTACTCGGTCACGGCGGACTGGTCGCTACCGCATTTCGAAAAGATGTTGTATGATAATGCTCAGCTGCTCCACGTCTATCTGGATGCCTTCCTGCTCTCGAGAGATGCGGAGTTGCTGGGCGTTGTGTATGACATTTCGACGTATCTGACGACCGACTTGGCGCACGCGGAGGGCGGTTTCTATTCCAGCCAGGATGCGGATAGTCTGTACCGGAGGGGCGACTCGGAGAAGCGGGAGGGGGCTTTCTACGTCTGGACGAAGCGGGAGTTTGAGAACGTGCTTGGGGAGAACGAGCCTATTCTATCGGCCTTCTTCAACGTTACGGGACATGGAAATGTCGGGCCGGAGAACGATGGTCACGACGAGTTTCTCGATCAGAACGTCCTCGCGATTGTTAGCACGCCTAGTGCGTTGGCTAGTCAGTTTGGCATGAAGGAGGAGGAGGTGGTGCGGATTATCAAAGCGGGCAAGGCTGCGCTGCGAGCACACCGAGAGAAAGAGCGGGTTCGACCAGGCTTAGATGATAAGATCGTGACCAGCTGGAATGGCCTTGCTGTTGGGGCCCTAGCTAGGACTGGTGGGGTCTTCAAAGGTTTTGACCCTGCGAAGTCGGAAGAGCTTCTCGGTTTTGCTATCAAGGCCGCGACATTTATCAAGCAGAACCTCTACGACTCATCCTCCAAAATCCTCTACCGGATCTGGCGAGAAGGACGGGGTGATACGGAGGGGTTTGCAGACGATTACGCTTTCTTGGTCGAGGGCTTGATCGACCTCTATGAAGCTACTTTTGATGAGGAGTGGCTCAAATGGGCTGATGAGCTGCAGCGTGAGTTGCTCCCAAGTAGAACTCTTTACAAACTGACGATTTCAGAAACCCAAATCTCCCTCTTCTTCGACGTCAACATTGGCGGTTTCTTCTCCACGTCGTCCACCGCACCACACCTCATCCTCCGCCTCAAAGACGGCATGGACACGTCCGAGCCATCCACCAACGGCACCTCTGCATCCAACCTCTACCGTCTCTCCTCTCTGCTCAACGACCTCACCTACGCGGAGAAAGCCAAGCAGACGCTCGCGTGTTTCGAAAGCGAGATGTTGCAATACCCCTGGCTGTTTGCCAGTTTCATGCCCAGCGTCGTCGCCTCCCAGCTCGGTGTCCGCGGCGTCGTGGTCGCCGGCGGTGGTGGTGGTGGTGGTGGCGACACGAGTGCTGGCTTGGGGAGAGTCAAGGAGTTCGAGAAGGCGCCGCGGGGCGGGCTGAGCACTTTTGCGTGGTTGAAGGGGGGTCCAGAGGGGTGGCTGAGGGGCCGGAATGGCTTGCTGGCTGGTTTTGGTCGCGATGGCGAGACGCGCGTCATGGTCTGTGAGGGGGGTGTCTGTACCGAGGGGGAGGTGCTGGCCATGGGGGAGGTGGGCAGTGCTGATGACGTCCAGGATAAGACCGCGGAGGGGTTAAGCGTCGAAGAGCTGAAATCAGCACTCCCTGGTGAGCCTCAGACGGGGCAGAGGTGTGAGTGAGCCGGTGCTGGAAGGTGGGCGCGCTGGTGGTTAAAGGGCTTGCGGCGGAGGACATTGATGGGCAGACGGGTGGATGGGGTGGATGAAAAGAGAGAGGAGAGGATCACGGCTTACGGATGCTGACTCTGGCGCTGGGCGTTTCCATGGTTTGGAGGTTTGGAAGTAGGTTTTTTTTATTATTATTTTTTTTTTATTTTATTCTTTTTTTTTTTCTTCCCTATCCTAATCAGACGATAATGTTTTTGGGGGAGGGGGGGGGGGGGGGGGGGGT